TAAAGTTATCATTGATAATAACCAATACCCAACAATACTGGAATGACGTACCTATAATTTTCGGTTGGTTAGGCCAATTATCCGTTGTCACTTATCGCTAATTGGTTTAATATGTAAGTATCATAAAAGTATTTAAAATTATGTGTTCAAATATACTGAATCGGTAAAAATATTGTAGATTGTCAATAATTATGTAGGTAACGACTAATTTATAGTTACACATAGTACTTTATGTTATTATTCGGGTATTTTTTTTAAACTTATTATTATTTCTTAATAAATAACTTTGTGGTCTGTAATAAGAAGTTTTGAAGTACAGATTTAATAATTATATTAAATATTATCTTATGATATAAAATAATAAAACCAGTATAGTAGGGTCGGAACATAATGGAGACGGAGAGGTCACAGGCTTATAAGAATTTTTAAATCTATCGAATTAACGCTTCGAAAGAAATCAGTAGTTATTTTTTTCAAGCCAGTCTAGTCCAAACCAAGCACAGTATAAATCAGCAAAGTTAGAAATTATTAAATTGAGGTGCAGTATTTATAAATAGGCATCAAAGCGATAATTTGAAAGTGAATTTATCCGAGAAGAATAGTACAGTAGAGTATAGGCATAATGGAATCAAAGCAACGAATTCACAGATCTACAGGAATTATTATTAATAAAAGTGATAAAATTAAATAAAATCACTTTGATACAATGGATTTTTGCAAATATTATAATATTTGAAGTATTTTTTTGTAAAACATTTTTTTACACAGGTTTACTATCCACTATATTTTTTTTTACCGTTGGTGTTAACACCTTTTGTCGTCTAACCTTGGCTTAATCAAATATACCTAAAACACATGCGATATGCTACCGTAGTTTGACTTTTGCATCTCGATGTAACCAAAAAAAAAAAAAACAGCCGATAAATATATAAAAAAATGCAATAATGTTTTGGACAAATTAGTTTTCAAGAATAATATACCATACCCTGATCTTTTATTTATTAAATAAAAATAAAAATTAGAGCCAGTAAACGTTGAAACTTTAATTTCAAATCGATCCGACTCAATACCAAGTAGATACATTTTGTGATTTGTAGAGTTGCCATTCAAAAGAATTGGTCCAGTATTAAAAAAGTTACCTCACATCATTGCATATACCAATAGCATCGCTGCTCTACAGCGAAGTTATAAAATATATCTATCAAATTTAAAAACGCTCATTGCTTTGTTTTCTACTCATTTTAAAAATATTTATTATTGTGGTGACACCAAAAGTTCGTGGTAAATTTTTAACAAATCAGTGGTTTCATTTTAGGCCAATGCGATTTATAAATTATTTCAATTTATTGTTAGAAAAGTTTTTGTATATTTTCGCAAATCATGCTCAAGTAGCCACCCAGCCAATTACAAAGGTTGCTCAGTATACAGAGAAATTCAAAAACGGAAAAAATCTACACATAAAAGTAACTTTTTATATGACAATCTTAATATTAAGAATTTTAATGTACAACAAGACAACCACTCATTAAAGGATTTCCCTAATATTAACCACACATCTCCAAAACAGACATATGCTCAAACGACTTCCAATAATACTAATAATCAAATTCCTTCACCTTCTTTAGATATAAATAAAGTCATGTCATCTTTCCTTGAAGACCTTAAGTCTCTAATTAATCCCCTTATAGCTCTCCTAACAAAAGTTATCGCCAGTTTGCTCGATAAGAAAAATGACTAGTCATTCTTTTACAAACAATTCATTACTAATCCTCAAGTTTAATGCTAATGGCTTAAAAAACCACATTAATGAACTACAAACTGTCCTTCATACTAAACGCATAGACATTGCACTTATAACAGAAACTCATTTTACGGAATACTCAAATTTTTTCATCCCTGGTTATACATTATTAAAATGCAACCATCCAGACAATACTGCTCATGGAGGAGTAGCTATTTTTATTAAATCTTCTATTCCATTCCTACCTCTTCCTAATTACTCCCAAGACTATATACAATCCTGTTCCATATCCTTAAAACTTAAAAATACATCATATACTTTTGCTGCATTATACTCTCCTCCCAAACATAAGGTCACGAACATGTTATTCAACGACTATTTTAACACTTTCAAAGATAATTTTACTGTCGGTGGCGACTTCAATGCCAAACACCAAATTTGGGGCTGTCGCTCAAATAACCCCCGTGGTCTTGTTCTACATGATTTTGTATCATTAAAAAAATTAAATATTCTTGCTCCTCCTGGTCCAACATATTGGCCTTCGTCCCTTCGTAAAAATCCAGACATACTTGACATTTTTGTAGCAAAACTACCGAACAAGTTAAATTACACTATAGACAATATCCTCGAGCTCAACTCTGATCATTCATCAGTCTTACTTACCATTAATTCAACTCCTCAAACTCATCAAAGTCATCCCAAGTTATTTCAAGTAAACACAGATCGATATATGTTTCATAATCTAGTTAATCAGAAAATTAAACTAAGCACAAAACTTAAAACTACTGAGGACATAGATAAGGCTGTAAATAATCTCACTAATATCATTCAAATAGCTGCCTGGACGGCTACTGATGATATAACACTATCCCAAAACAAAACAATCGTTTTACCAGAGCAAATAAGAATATTAATATCTGACAAACGTAGAGCTAGATCTTTATTCCAACGCACTAGACTTCCGTCACATAAACATTTATATAATAAGTTAGCAAATAATCTTAAAAAAATGCTTGCTCAACACAAAACCAATTCCTATAAAAATTACTTATCTAACTTAACGGCTAAGGATGGTAGCCTATGGAGAGCTACCAAACAAGCTCTTAGATATAAAACAGCTAATCTCCCAATTAAAAAAACTGACGGCAGTCTAGCTATCACTGACTTGGAAAAAGCAGAGTTATTCAAAGAACATCTAGCTGATACTTTTAAACCTCATCCGAATATACACTCACCTGAAACGACTAGTTCTGTAATGGCATACCTAGACGCACCATTACCACTATATCTTCCAGTCAAATGCTTCACACCAAATGATGTAAAATTCACAATTGCTAGATATCCTTTCAACAAATCCCCTGGTTTTGACCTAATAACGGCTGAGGTTGCAAAATGCCTTCCAAAAAAAGCTATTATCCACTTAACCCATATATTTAATGCAGTCATTAGACTTTCGTATTTCCCTCTATTATGGAAATTCTCGACTATTATATTAGTTCCTAAGCCCAACAAACCCCCTGATCTGCCAACATCCTTCAGACCAATCAGTCTTTTACCGTTCTTTGCAAAAATTTTTGAAAAATTATTAATTAAAAGAATACTTCCCTGTCTCTCTGTCAATGAAATACTGCCTAATTCCCAATTTGGTTTTAGAGCTTCTCACTCCACTATACATCAAGTCCATAGAGTAGTAGACGCAATATCGTACTCGCTCGAAAAAAAATTATACTGCACAAGTGTGTTTCTTGATATTTCGCAGGCCTTTGATAGGGTATGGTATGACGGCCTCCTTTATAAATTAAAAAAAAATTTGCATCCCACTTATTACTTGTTTTTCAAATCTTACTTAACAGATCGTTTTTTCCAAATCCGTCATGGTTCTTCAGTAACTGATATAGCCTCTATAAAAGCGGGAGTTTCACAAGGAGGTATTCTATCTCCAGTCCTATTCAATATCTATACCTCAGACCAACCCACAACTCCTAACACAGTTGTTGCAGATTATGCTGATGACAAAGCCATTTTGTCCTGTAACTCTGACCCACAGATTGCATCCGTCAATTTGCAAAATCATTTTCATTTAATGGAAGACTGGTATACAAAATGGCGTTTTAAAATTAATCAATCAAAATCAGTTCACACTACCTTTACTCTAAGACTTCTCCCTTGTCCTGGTGTCTCCCTATACGGAGTACAAATCCCCTCCTCTTCCTCTGTCAAGTATCTCGGTCTCACACTAGATAAACGACTCACATGGGCTCAGCACATTAAAATTAAACGTTTGTCTCTAAATAGCCGTCTGCGGTTACTCAAATCATTAATCGTAAACAATAAATTTACAGATATTAATACAAAAAACTTCTTATTTATAAAACTCTTTTAAAACCCATATGGACTTACGGCCTTCAGCTATGGGGCAATGCTAAAAAATCCAATACCAATAAAATTCAATGCTTTCAAAATATTGTCTTAAGAAAATTAATAAATGCACCTCCTTATATCTCTAATTACACACTCCATAACGACCTTAACTTAAAAACAGTCCATGAAGAAGCTATCTCCTACTATAAAAGATTCCACATTAAACTACTCTCCCACTCTAATCCCCTTATAAAAAACCTCTCAACCTTGTCCATACCTGGAGACCCACCCAGACGTTTAAAACGTAAGTGGTGCCGTGATCTTCTATCTAATAATATCAATTAATATTAATACATAATTAGATCAATGTAAATATAAGTTTAAAATAAAAAAATAAAAAAATCATTGGAAGTGTCACTAATGAGTGGTTTCTTCCATCAAAATGTATTCAATTTATCTCTACTTTTATCATATATACTTATTGTGCCCATTGTACAGATTGTATATTTCTTTTGTAAAATAAAAAAAAATAAAAAAAAATATTGATGACAAATAATCAACGAGCCAGTAGAAGTAAATACAATGGTCAACCGGCTGCATCGTGAGCTGGATGATGATTATAGTATCAACGTTCACATCAAGAAAAAGAAAATTCACCGTTCAAGTTACATAATAGGGTTTGTCCGGAAACGCGTAGTAAAAGATTGGCTCAGCCATCTAATTGACACTCCACTATATAAATATTATGGCATTAACGTTAATGAATCTTTCTTTTTTGCAGAGGCGCCACAAATTGTATTGAGTGACCGAGACGAGTTTAGCGAAGAGATAGATTATAGATATTCAGTTATAGTACATTGTTGTTCAGCGAAAATTGAACAACTTACAGTCTCGTGTTTATGTATCGTATTATAGTTATCATAAACCGATAATATCAAGTATATAAAATAATATTAATCGTATGTCAATAAAGTTCATGCACATGATAAGTTCTGCTCCTTTTAAATTTTATTTCAGTAGAACCCGTTATAAGATGTTTACAGATAACTATTGTGATTAATTTCTACGGCTCACTCGGTTTTTTTCCATAAAATTCCATTTTGATTCTAAAGAAAAATGTATAATTTATATCACTTACATATACATTTGCATAAAATAAATTTGAGTTGCAAATTTTATATAATTTATAAACATTATTTATACAATTCTAACTACCTAAACTATAAGTTTTATTTTTCACAATAATATTTTTCATTACTTTCTCCAATCCACCTGGAATAAACAAATAAAGGTTTGAGCTATGCAAAAAGTATTAAACAAAATCAAAATAAATATATAAATCAACACAATAAGCACTTCCTTAAACCTTATTATACCATAACGCATAGTATATTTGATAAACTATTAAGTTTAAAAAAAAATATACTAGTTTTAAATAATTACTTCTTAAGGGCATTACATGAGGTCTGCATTAGGGAGTTTTGTAAAGGCAATATTTAAGTATTAAGAGCTTTCAATAAATGTCGACCATGTCAATTATTTTATCAGTTAATTTGTATATGATTCAAGGTCTTATTTTTAGTTTAAATAATTTTTTCTATGAGTAAAAGCCATTTTGGTTTATTTTAGACCACAAATCCGGACAAAATTTCGACTACATAGAATGGTCCAATGTCAATTTTGTAAAGAGACTCAATTTTTTTGGCTGTTTTTCTATGTTATGTAAGAAGCCGATTTTTATTTTAAAATGTCTGTGTCTTGTAATTAAATAAATTAAAATTTACATAAAAAAAGCTATTAATAATAAAGCAATTAACAATTAAAAAGCTGTTTCCTATATAAACTAGTAAAGTTGCCTAAGAACTCTTAGATCATTAAAAAAATAAAAATTGTATAATTCAATAAATACGCTACTTACTAAAACAACGACACCGAACATCAAAAGTAAGAAAAAAATTCGTCCACAGCGCCATGTATTACTACCGACTGTTTATTTATTCATATCACGTACATAACAAATAAGATTATATTCAAGTGTTACCAACATGACTATACTGAACAATTGTTAATCTATAAATCATTTAACTTATTTTAGAGCACCGGACTATAAGGGAGCAAATAGAAAGATGTATTATATTATACAAAAATCCGATTCAAATCCCAAACGCTATGAAGAAAGAATTGAAAATTGAAAATCCGGAATATGTTTTTGAATACGATCATAGCATTAATTCTCATATAAATGTTAAGAAGTTACTTTTGGTGTTAGCGTATAAAGGAACATATGGCGACTTTGAGGTATTTGATCTTATATAACTACACTTATAACTACTAACACATCAACTATTAACAAATATCAAAATATTACAAAATCGTGATTGCGAAATATTCCTGTATGATTAATATTAAACTTAGGATCGAATGCTGACGTCTTTTGAAGTATATTATTAAGTCAAAAAGTTCACTTAACGCTCCGAAGATTTAAAACAACTTGGATGGCTTACTCGTAAAGATATAATAGGTTTTTATGAATACTTAAACATTAAAGGAGAACAATTGTCAATGGCCATGGAATTAATCCCTTGGTCTAAAGGAGGTAATATTAATTTTAGGTCGAAATAGCGGTTTACATCAAGTTAACAAACTTAATTTATTAAATTTTAGGTAGCGGTTTTGCTACCGCAGCGGAGTTCTTGTTGACCATGATAGATATTCTACCGGAAGTAAGCAAATACTCATACAACCAATAATATATTATACTTACGAACATCAAATGGAAACCATATTAAAGAACGAACGAATAATCCCAGTATAATAAATAGGAATACTCGGATAGAATTTTTAAAAACAGAATTTTCAAAAATAAAAAAACAAGATCCTACTATATGTAATTTTTGAAAATTGACCATATACATTAAAAACTGAATTTTTTTCCAAAAATACCCAACCAATATGGCTCTACTGTGGCTTAAAAGATTCACAAATGTTTCAGCTTGCCTTTTAACCTATACATATGTGTTGATTGTACATATATTTTTCTATAGGAAGAAAAACCTAGGTTTACCCAAGGTATGAACAACACAAAAACACACTAAAACCTACATAAATTCTACATTTCTGCACCAAATTCGCTCAAACCTAGACCAAACTCAAGAGAATTTTGTCAGCAATCAGAATATATGGTCAAATTGCCGATTTGTGTGATAACCTAACCTAACCTAACCTAGAATACAAAACTGAAAAATACAGAATGAACTAGAACACAATAAAGGCTATAATAAACAAAACAAATAAATAGAACGAAGGCATCTAGTGATTCTATATTACATATTATTTTGTATGACCGCAAACTTGTTTTACATGTGTTGATAAATCGACAGTTGACAGGTACATTTGACAAAATAAATTTTCATTAAACTGTTGTTTGTTGTATTGCCGTTGAAGAGGCAGGCGAACCACCCCTATATCGTATATCCCCAAAAAAGTCAAAAACATTTATTGATATGAACATTAAGTACTAGAAAGTAAGAGTAAATATTAGAAAAAACATCTGTCAGCGCTACAACAGAGTGCACAGCGTCTTTATTTTTTTGAATAGTAACAAATTGTATTGATACATTCCAATTTATACTATTAAGTTTGAAGTAAGCAGTATATAAGTATAAAAACAATAAATAAACAACATACGTGTCTTTAAATAGAGAGGAAAACTGTTTATTTATTATATACTTTCAAAATTATTTAACAATATGTGCGAGTTATGTAAAACATGAGTTAAATATATTTATAACAGTACCATACAATTTATGTATTAAATATTAAAAACAAACTGGTGTGAGAAATCTAATATGATATTTATTTAAATACTTTAATAAAGATATTAACTTAAAACATTAACCGTTAATTGTCGTAATATTTCTGTATCTAGTAACTGACTATAAAGGTGTCCGAATTTACCTTGTATTAATACATGAGGTTGACCACGGGTTACTTCTCGAAATTCGTAGTCTCGAACTATGTACTTTCTTTCGCCGCCCGTTATACCTATAACGGCGCAAATAGGACCAGTTTCATGCGCAGTGTCAGTACTTCGATCTTCATCAACACGCACAGCTCGTGCAAAATTGTAGTTTATACAACTCGATGCCAATCCTACTATAAGACATCTCTCATCATCAGTATAACGATGATCTTGGTCTAAAAAAATATGAAAAAAATTAATTGTCAAATGTAGCTGCAAGATACAAATAATACAAGTGTACAATAAAAAATATAGGAAAAAAATAAAACTCTAGACATTTTAAAAAAAAAACATTATCATTGAAATCATTTAAGTTATGATGATAACTGTTATGATGACTATAGTCATCATATTATGTACACGATAATATAATGCAGTACCAGTGTCGTTATCTGAATACCCTAATAAAGTTGACCCACACACACTCACGATCATCTGACTTTTTTCCGTAGTATTTTTATACAACGTGAACTCAATTTTTCATTCTGTATAGTATACTACACAGTAATATGGTATATACTATGGTTAAAAGAGCAATTAAATTATAACAATATAATACTTACGCTGCTCAGGTAAAAAAACATCCTCCATGAGGAGACTCCACAAAGCTTTTCTAGTTTTTTTCCTTAGGACATTTGCCACCTTTACTATTTCTCCAAGTTGTGGAATAGGATCTTCTGTAATACACAATACAATTGCCAGTACAGTGAGTTCTAAGCATAGCGGGAACGTACCAAATTGGAATAGGAGAGGTTACAGTTCTATTTTCAGATATGTAAAAAATTATTGTCAATAACTTATTTATTCATTCATTTTTTATAAACGGCCAAAAACTCTTGAAATGTAATATAAAATCAAACAGCCAGCAAAAAAGAATATGAAAACAGAACTATGACAAAGTACAACAACATATTATAGTACATAACATAAATTAAATTAATTCTGAGGTGGCACGAAGGAGAATCAAAATATTATTCTTGAACTTAGAGCGTAAAGTAAAAAGAAATAAACTTACAGAGTCAACTAAAGTTCACGTCACTTCTATTTAGAAAATTATGCATTTTAAACATTTTTTGATAATTATTTTTATAATAATAATTTTATGTAAATAAATCAGAAGAAAAATAAATACCTAAATCTCTAATAAAGACACAGATCATAATAAAATTCGGAGTAAAACACAATAAAGCACTTCAAGTTTTGGTAGCATTTTATAACGGTAAGAAGTTAAACAGTTAACCTACAAATAATGACACCACTTTTTTATATAATAGATTATATTAATGATTGTTTACTGCTAGCTTTCATTCCTGCCATTAACGAGGCGTGAACTGCTTCTTTTTAATTCAAGAAATTTCAACTGATAATTTAAGTCTAAAGAGCTATTTATGACTAACTAATAAAATAACTAATGCATGCTTACCTGGTGAAGGCAGATTAATAGCTGCAACAAAAATATAACATCTCAATATAATCGGAAAAAGTCTCAGATGAAGACACTATGTAACTGATAGTTAAAAATATAGTAAAGAAGACCGGTAAAGCGTTTAAATTTGTTTATTTAGTATTAAGGCGGCAACGACTAGGGTTGGTTGTTTGACAATATGACCCTTCATTGTCATAATTGCCATATTTTCTAAATCTTAACACTAACATCCAACTACGTTCAACTCAAAAAATAAATCTGGCTGGTAAAAAATAACTTAATTGAGTCAATGTAGTCATTAAATTTAATAGTTGTAATATCAGTTGCAATATTTCGGTATTGATTTTTAATGGTAAATACTAATAAAATATGCATGCATACCTGTCCGAGGCGGTTCCTTAGCTGTAACAACAATATATCACAATTAATATAATTGGAAGAAGTCGGAGAGAAAATCGAAAGAAAGATAAATATCCAAGTCTCTGACAAAAACACTCTATGTAACTGATAATTAATTATAAAGCGCTTAAACTTGTATTTTGTAAACTTTAGATTTCAATGCTGCCGAAATTGAGAAGTAGACTGCTTCTTTTAAATTCGAGTAATTTCTAGTAAATTAGATTGATAATCTAAGTGTAAAGAGTTATTTACTTACTTATCGAATTTAGCGGTACCGGTTCAAGACCTGTTACGAAAATATAAAATGTCAAAATAAAACAATACACGAATAAAAACCATTTTAAACATTTTTAATTAGAATTCACAATAAAAATGATTTTAGTAGGAAGTCCCGTTTGAATTAACGATGTACATAGATTTACGAAC